ACGATCAGATGAGGGAGTTCATTTCCTCTAAGATCACGCGTAGTATTCTGGATCAGACTCGTGTGATCTTTTGCACGGTCAAGGAGGGTATTTTGGAGATTTTAGATGAGATACTGGGCACATTTCACACCGAGATGGCGGCCACGGTGGGGTTATACACACTTACATTCAGGGAGTTCAGAACTTGTGGATCTCCCCTTGATCTTGATCTTCTTATTGATTCCTTGATTGGAATCTTGCAATAGCCATATTTTGTTGAATGATAGGACTCATAGTAGGAATCACTCTAATGGTATCATACCCAAAACACCAAAAGAGAAAAATTGACAAATCATAGAAGAGAGGATTAGGAAAATTAAAACTCTAAACTCTAAAGGTTTAATTTTCATCTACGGAAAGAATAAAGGGAATGCAGAATGAAATTTGGAGTAAAGAGCACTTAGGGTTTCATTCTTATCTCCCTATTTGCTTAATCCTAAAACAAGTCCAAAACTTGGGTAATCCTTATCTAATTCGTCCATCTTAATATTTAGGGTTCTAGAATGTTCCAATTAATTAAACATTTTAATTAGTCTTTAATTAATTAACTAATTAACTTTTAATTAATTACAAGTTAATTCCATAATATTTTCTAATTAATTTATCAAAACCATGAAAAATTAATAAAATTATTTCTCTTGTCTTTTAATTCCTCAATTGGGTTATGGTGACAACTCAAAAAAGACACTATTATTATCAAAAATATTACCAATAATTAATGACCTTAGACTTTATTCCAATAGTAATCAAGGTTTGTAACGTTTATTTTGCCTTCATGGCAATTTGAAAGCAATTAAACAAGATTAGTTTAATCTTTTAAAAGAGAAATGGACTTTTAAAAAATCCTTAATTATATCATTGAACAAAAATAGTAATGGACTTTTAAAAAAAATCCCCAATTATACAAGGGTATAGATCTAACATTTCACTACAGCATAAAAACATCTTATATACCAGGATACGTAACCTACTGGGTCGGCATTGGTGCCTTCGATCCACATGTACAGCAAGGAAAACTCACCTCTTAGTCTGAAAAGATAGTTGAACACAACACCGCTTCCGAATACCAACTCTATAAGCCACATGTACAACAAACAGTGACCTTGTCTCAAACTATTGCCCAAAATACCCTTAAGTCAAACATGGTCAAATGTCAAAGTCAAGAAGTCAAACTTCAAGCTGAGTACACCCAGTGTACTCAGCTCGTACGTATGGCATATTTACTATCCAGAAACAGGACCCCATACGAGTACGCGCAACATGCTCAAAAGTACGCGCAGCGTATTAGGTCATATAACATTTTTCCATTAAGTTCTTATTCTCTTATGTCCTTTAGTCCAACACTTAGATCTAGACCCATAACATCATTCTAATTCATAAAGTTTCTACCTTTACAACTTTCCATGGCTAGATAAGGTCTGAAAGCTGAAACCCTAAATTAATAATCCATTAAGACATCATGACTCGTGCATGGAAGGGATATAAGGACCAAGAACACATTTTTATGGTTCTTAATAGCTCTATAATGGATAAAGTTTTTTACTTTATCCATTTGGACGATCCAAACAACCAAGATCTAGACTTTAAGTCTCAAAGGGACCAAATGTACATCTTTCTCAACTCAATCAATTAAGTCCAAGTATCCAACCTTCACATCTGAATCAAAATGATGTTTAGATGGATAAAGTTTCCAACTTTATCCATAACTAGGTCACCAACTTTCAAGATCTAAACTTTATGCATTTAAGTGACTAAAGGCTCATAACACCCAAAACAAGTTAGATCTAACAAATGCATCATCGAGATTCAAGCTTTATACCTTTAGAAGAAAGATGAACGTGAACAAGGTGATCTACAAGCTGCAATGCAACCAACACTTCTCCAATGAGTTCCTTCTTCTCCAAGATCCACCAAGCACAGTCCAAAGCACTCAAAAACACCTTCTTTATCTCATAAGGCTCAAATAAGGGTTAGGATTTCATGGGAGGATGTTAGAGAGGTGGAGTCTAAGAATGGTAAGGGTTTTGGGAGCTTAAGGAGCTTAAATAGGGCTCAAAACCCTCAAATTAGGGTTTAGGGTCTAATCGCATACCCCCAGAGTACTCATAGTATGCCCAACATACCAGGTTGATTCCCCACGATCCAGCTTGCCTAGTACGCCCAATGTACGCTCCTAGTATGCCTAGCGTACGCGGCTTAACCCAAAACCGTCATAACTTCAAACGGTCGTAACTTCTTCATTCGAACTCCTTTTTTGTCATTCTTTATATCCACAGAAATGTATTGAAGAGCTCCACGGTATTATCTAGGTATCTTGGACTAAAAAACCTATAGAATAAAAATCTATATTTCATGCAAGAACCCGGTCTATGACTTTCCCCTTTCTACCCTTCGGCCCAGAACACAATTTAAAGGTTAAGATTGTGCAACCATCATTGCCTCCTTCCAAAAGGTCTAAACATTACCTCCTTATGGTCCAAAGCCTTTACCAATTGACTTCCAGCCCATGGCCCTAAAATAAGAAATGACAAGAAACAAGATGTTACATTGCCATATCATGGCAATTGCATGACCACATCGTGGCATCTTAAATGATACGCGGACCTGAAGATGGATGCCACGATGTGGTAATCCTTACCACCATGTCATGGCCAACTAAAAATCTCTAAAATGGAATTATAAAATTAATACCTAGAAAACCAGATGTTACAAAACCCTATGTGTACATGTACTCTAATAGATCTAGGTTTATTTTATTATATCAACCTGCTTTGAAAACTATAAATTGACTAACCCCTTGATCTTAATCTTCTTGTTGATTCCTTGATTAGGATCTTGTAATAGCCATATTTGCTTGAATGATAGGACCCATAGTAGGAATCTCTCTAATAGTATCACACCCAAAACACCAAAAAAGCAAAATCGGCAAATCCTAGAATAGAGGATGAGGAAAATGAAAACTCTAAACTCTAAAGGTTTAATTTTCATTTGCGGAAAGAATAGACGGAAGGCGGAATGCAATTTGGAGTATAGAGCACCTAGGGTTTGATCCTTATTTACCTATTTATAGACTCCAGTTGCTTAATCCTAAAGCAACTCCAAAAACTTTGGTAATCCTTATCTAATTCGTCCATCTTAATATTTTAGGGTTCTAGAATGTTCCAATTAATTAAACATTTTAATTAACCTTTGATTAATTAACTAATTATCTTTTAATTAATCACAAGTTAATTCCATAATAGTTTCTAATTAATTTATCAAAACCATGACAAATTAATAAAATTATTTCTCCTATCTTTTAATTCCTCAATTGGATTATGGAGACAACTCAAAAAAGACATTATTAATATCACAAATATTACCAATAATTAATGGCCTTAAACAATATTCCAATAGTATTCAAGGTTTGTAACGTTTATTTTCCCATCATGGTAATTTGAAAGCAATTACATAAGATTAGTTTAATCTTTTAAAAGAGCAATGGACTTTTCAAAAAAAATCCCTAATTATATCATTGAACAAAAATAGCAATGGACTTTTAAAAAATCCCCAATCATACAAGGGTGTTGTGATGTTTATTGTTATGCCCCTGGTACTCACTTGTTGACAATTTTGCACCTGGCTGTTTTTTCAGGTCCTCTTTGATAGTTCGGGTTTGGGATTTGTCTTTGAGATTCAGGTTTTATATCCGCCGCGAAGGGTAAGAATCCTTCTAGTTACCAAATAAAATAAGAATATAAATACCCCTGGTTTATAATAAATTTATTTAATTTATTTTTTCATAAGTTATTAGATATACAACCAAATAAAATAAGAATATAAATACCCCTGGTTTATAATAAATTTATTTAATTTATTTTTTCATAAGTTATTAGATATACAACCTACAGATGCATGTAGCGTTACAATTGCAACTAGTCAATTTTTTTTGTCAGTTAGTTATTTGAAAATCTTTTAATACAAGTTGACCATTTTAATATATTTCTTTCTTTTTCCGAGTACGTCTATGTATTCACATTTGTTCAATATATGGTCAAAGCTTTCCCATGACAATAGCATGGGACTTCTAGCATCATGAATCATGTCTACTTTTTGAATTCCTAGATACCAAGACTCCTTCAATAATGTCATCATGATCATAATGACTATTTTATTTTTTTCTTATGGACCAAATTAAATCCATTAATGTCATCATCTGCGACTTCCTGGGATTTTCTGAAAAGAAAAAGTTAACATCAAACTGTTATAAAAGTGATACTTATTTTCTACAATTACTTCGCTAAATAATTCGAACATGGTTTCATACAATCATTCATCTGATCATAGTTACGATATTGTATCACCAATTTATTATAACCGGTCTTCGGGGCTATCTGTAAACCTCACCAATGAAAATATTGAATCCTTGTGGGATTTTTGTTTGCAAATTTTTGTTTGGGAAATCGAAGGAAAGTACAGCGGGCCTTTGGCGTGGATTGGGATCTACATATCAATAGCATCATTATTTTGCATTCTTGCCATGGTAGCTGATCTGTTCAATGGTTTTCAAAGAAGAAAATTTTGGTTTCCAAGTAAGTATTTCTCTCTAAATGCTGTTTCTATCACAGTGATAGCCGTTGCAATGAAACTCCCTGTGGATTTGAGTAGTCCAATGCCTGGGTGGGTGGACCAAGCAGCTAAGCAAGGAAGCTTAGTCTTTATGTGTATGATGATGGCTAACTTGATGCCTTCTTTGGCGTCCATGGATAACAAGTCACTTCATGGATGTAGGATACATCTATGTCGCTTTTTTACTCTTCTTACTAATAATTTTGATCTCTTCTGCTATAACACTTCCAATCTCTAAGCAAATTCTAGAACTCAAGTATCAAGCAATTAGCAAAACAACTTTATATGATCATTGTCCACAAGATACATTTGATATTCAGAAGCTACAACAGCATGTGAAAAGATATTGGATCATGGCAGAAACTGGTAGCCCTCAATTTGTGATAGCTTGTAACTCGTTATCACGTGCTTCCTGCGTAATTTGTTTAACTGGTCTAGCCATATACATATCTCTTCTGGTGTCAATTTTAAAATTTCCATTTCGGATAAGATTCCAATCAGATTACAAGTGGTCAATGGTTGCCATTGTTATCACACAGTCCATTGGAGTTGGAGTGGGTGTCATCTCCCCAATGTTTAGATGTTTTACGGTTGTGAGCTTTATATCTTTTACAAGGTGGAATAGGAACCATTTGGAGGTCTTTAAAGTAGAGAAGTATTGGACTCAACAGTTGTGTGAATGGAAAGAAAGTCATATAACATTTCTATCAAATGGCCATAGATCAAGAAATCTTATACGTAATTTGAAAAAACCTATTCTAAGTGCTTGGATTGGATTTCAGAAGGTGGTTGTTGTAACATGCAAAATTATAGGGCTCATCCCCATAGTGGTTCTACTCATTTTCATGTATTGTTCATATTATTTCAAGTCAATAAAAGAAATGATGCTTAATCCACCCTCAAGCACTCACGATATAGATGAAGACCTTAGCAATTATGTTTTGTTACTTGAAGACAATACGGAGTTTGCTGAAATAACACTTAAACGAATTTCAAACTCCATGAATCGCATGATGCAAAAGGCCGAGAAGGAACAAGACGACAATCTCTTAAAGTTTCTTGAAAAATCTATTGGATTCGAGGGAGTAGAGAATTTTGACATTTGTCAAGTTCAACCACTACTTTCTATTGAATTTCCTAACAGTTGGAGCTTACCAATTGTCACCTTAACGTGCATCGCCATTGCTCTCCCAAATATTGGTAAGGATGCAACTAATAACTTGTTCAAATGTGTTGGTGAAGGTCTTTTTTACACGCATATTGTTGAGGAAAGCTTGAACAATGCACGTCAATATGTAAACATTCAAAAGGCAACTATGACATTGTGGGATGAGGTTGAAGACAAGTACAAGTGGTTAGAGAACACTTTGGAAAAAAGAGCTTATGAAGGAAAAACATCAAGAGAGATCCTTGAATGGTTTGCTAACAAAGCAGAAGAAATTGTGATAGAAGTTAGCAAAAGCACAAATATAGGAGAACCGGTGGAATACCTTCCGTGGAAGTTGATTGTTGCTAATTCAATGTATCGAATTACACAAACAATCATGTTTACCTACCAAAGTAACATCTTAGAGATCAATGAAGAATGGTTATTTACACTATTAACTCACATGATTGCAGACATATTGGTTGCTTGCTTCACCAACATACCACGAGTCATAACAATGAAATGCCATGAAACTGCAATAGAGAAACGAGAAGCTAGTGTTGAGGCTGCAGCAAAGCTTCTTGGTAGGACTACTGAGATAATAAAAAGACTTGAAACGTATGAATTACCAAACATTCATCAGGATAAGATGGCATTTATTGATGAATGGCGTCTTCATTTGCAACGTATCCCTTAACATTTGTTGTCTTTCATATAGATCGAAAGTAATTTTCTGACTTCATAACACAATTCTTGTTTGTGTGTATACATAGGCTTAATATCTGGTTGTAATTCTTGTTTCTTTTTCACCTTAAAATATGTTGTCTATCATATAGATCGAAAGTAATTTTTCAGTTTTGTTTGTGTTCACAGGCATATCTTTACATCTTTCTTTTCAGTTTTGTTTGTGATCTTGGACATTTCTTAACATCTTTCTTTTCATATATTGATTCATGTTGAGGATGTTGGATAGTGACACTTTGGATTGGGAAAAAATCGGGGCATATTTTCATATTGTTGCATATAATCTTGAGCAGTATAATATTGCATATTATATTTCAGTGGATATATTCATTTTACAATGGTTGTTGAACTGAAATATGAGCAATTGGGAATGTGGTATTATATATATTAGGAAAAATGATACAAATGCCCTGCGAACTTTCTAGGGTTTATCTGTTGAGTCCCTAAAGTTTTTGTCGGGCTTTATGGGTCCCTAAACTAGGATATGACATGCTCTTTTAGTCTCTGTCAACCTGTAATAGCCGGTTCAGTGACCTTTTAGGGAAAAAAACTCACATTGTGCCCTTATAAAGCCAAAAAAAATAAGTTCGAGGATCAAATCATACCAAAAAAACTCTCTTTTTCTTGTAAAGCCAATTCATACTCAACTTATATTGATCCCCAAACTTTTTTTTGGGCTTTATAGGGGCACAATGTGAGTTTTTATGGTCTAAAGGTCACTGAACCCGCTATTACAAGTTGACAGAGACCAAAATAGATGGTCATATCCTAGTTTAGGGACCCATAAAGCCCAACAAAAACTTTAGGGACTCAACGGGTAAACCATAGAAAGTTCGTAGGTCATTTGTATCATTTTCCCTATATATTAAGGCTCAACTTTTTTGGAATGTATAACTTTGGGTTAATGACAGAGAAAGGTAACGAACTTTGGACTTTATCCATATTTAGGTAACCATGATTTTTTTGTTCACATTTGACGATTGAACTTGTTTGACCTGTTCAAAATAAGGTAATATGACCAGTAATTAGCGGTAACATTACCCTATTATGAACATGTCAAACAAGTTTACTGGTCAAATGTGTTCGAAAAAAATATGGTTACCTAAATATAGACAAAAACCAAAGTTCCTTACCTATTTTGGTAATATTGGGTTTATTATGTTAAGTGTGAGTAGTCATAAGATCCATTGATGTGAAATGAAATTGGGTTGTCCGGTCTTGTGTATGAGGAGATGGTTAAGTCTTGGGCCAACCCAGTTTAGGCACAGATAGTTAGGGGTTAGATTGTATACGCTTAAGGGGCTAGGTTGTATGTGTTTTAAAGACCGAGCAACACAACTTAGCCCATGACTAGCTGAGACTAAATTGGGTTAGACCAAGCCTAACCTAACTGTTCATTAACTGTCGGAGCCTGATCCTAGGGCACACAGTCCCTAAAACGGTTCTTTTCCAATATTACCAAAACGGGTACGAAACTTTGGTTTTTGTCCGTATTTAGGTAATCATGTTTTTTTCGTACACATTTGACCAATAAACTTGTTTAACCTATTCATAATAGGGTAATATTACCGTAATTATCGGTCATCTAACCCTATTTTGAGCATGTCAAACAAGTTCAATGGTCAAATGTGAACAAAAAAAACATGGTTATCTAAATGTAGACAAAGATAAAAGTTTGTTACCTTTCTAGGTCATTAACCACATAACTTTAGAGTAACATCATATTTACATGCACCATGATGGCTAATATAATGTCTTTTTCCATTCAACATCTATAAAAAAGACATTTCCTTAAAAAGAAACTATATTAGCCGCATTATGCACAGAACTTGATGGTACTCAAGTTGAAGTTGAGTAACTTCAAGTGTTTATGAGAGGCTCATGTAGGAAAAGAAAAGTGTGCACATCTCTATTTATAAAGGGATAAACACCCAACATTCGTTTTCACTACCGATGTGGGACACAAAGATGGAAAGTGAAAAGGAAGTTAGGCATCCCAAATTATGGTCACCATCAATTATAATTTTAGGGTTTTTGGTTTTGACTTTTATAACTATAAACTAAAATGAATTGTATAGGTTTTAAAGTTTTTCAAACCAAACCCAATATCTATCAACAACATGGCACTTCTTCCAAATTTCATAGGTTTTATTATTGCAACAATCACTCTATTACAACACTTGTGTCCGATTTAAAATAAGGAACCAAAACACAAAACTATTTACTAGATTGCACTTTTGGGCCTAATTAAGGACCCATCAACAGCTATCTTTTGGTAAGTATATAATCTATTCAAAATATTTTCTTCAGCAAATATGTAAATCAAAATTTTATGGGAATATAATGACTTTATTGTAATTCTTGAAATGTGGTTATCGAGAGAACATGGATAATCGGTCATTTGGTTGATATTGCAACAAAATTATAAATATAATGATATAATTGAGAAAAAAAATCGGTGTTAAAATCAAAACTTTATGATAATATAGTGACTTCCTTGTAATTTTCCCTATTAAAACTTAAAAAAAAAAAAAAAAAAAAAAAAAAAAAAAAAAAAGAGTTGTTTTAATTGATTAGTTACACATATAGCTTTCTATGTGTTGATTTAAATTAGATTAATATAACTGGGATGATTACTCTAATGTTTTGATATGATACTCTTATTTGATGTTGGAATACTATGACTTATGTTTTGAAGAAATGATTTAATAACTATTGTTTCTTTAATGGTTTAAAATGAAAATTTTTTGTCATGATTTTTGGGATGTTACAGGTTGGGTGGGTAGCGAAATGGATGGCACTGACTTTGTCTTCTCCGATTGACTGCCACCTTGTAGTCTCCGGTTTTCCAGCGACTATGCTTGTAGATCTGAATCGATGTCATCGTCACATATCTGAACTCTGGAACTTGAGGGTTTCCAGATCGGACCAGTGAACCCACCCCTAACGTCGTCGATATGGGTTACAACGTCCTTCGCTGGCTTGATCTATATTCGAATGACCACCGAAACAAATCAATATGTCGTAGAACGTCCTCTGAGTCGATCTTTCGTCGAATGATCACTAGAACAACTCCCCACCAACTCCTACAACGAACAAATTTAGAAATAACAGTACTTTCCAGCAACAACGAAGGTTTTCGGATCGAAGGAGTTCCGGCGAAGAGCTCCATGTCGTCTTTCAGATCTTCACAGAACTAGGCAACGGAGATGGAATCTGATGACAATGGTGGTCGTTTTTGGTGGTGATAGTGGTTTCAGAGAGAGACGGAGAGAGATAGAGATAGAGATAGAGATAGAGATAGAGATAGAGAGAGAGAGAGAGACAGAAGAGAGAGAGATGTGGTTGGGTGGGCTTTTGGTGGGTTATGAGGGGGTAGGTTTATATTTTGTTTTTTTTTTTTGATTAAATAATAGTAAATGAAATAAAAAGAAAATGAAAAACAAACAATAAGGACAAAAATATCATTTTGAAGAGTTTTAAAAATTTTTGAACTAAATTTGCAACAAAATGAAAGTTTTTGACCAATGGTGTTAGTCCAAAACTTTTTAAACAAAAATGACAATTCTTTACATACGGTAGAGACCAATTTTATAGTTTTTCATTTTTATTTTTTATTTTCCTTGTTTATATTTATAGTTTTAATTCATTTGCGGATAACGTTTCTATTGGTTTACAAAACCAATGGTATGTGTTTGTATTTGTAAAACAAAAATATTAGGTTGAGTCTGGTTTTTTCGATTATTTATAAATCGACACTAACAACACTAAACCGTACATCACATACTTTATGACATGATGTTAGGATTTGGAATAAAAATAAAGTCATTTATATGTTTTATAGTTGTTTTGAATGTTTTTTTAATATTTTTTTAGTTTTTGTTCGCCTCTAGTCTCAATCTCTCTATCAGTTAAGTTGTATCTTGGAATTTAGGAAAATATATTTGATCGTATTAACGTATATTTGCTCTTCTTGGTAATTTGAAAGCAATTACACAAGATTGTTTTAATCTTTTAAACAAAAGTATTTATAAAAAGAAGATTTATAAGTGCAAAAAAAAAGCAATGAATTTTTAAAAAATCCCCAATTATAGCATTTGCAAAAATAGCAATGGACTTCAAAAAAATCCCCAATTATACAACGGTGTTGTGATATTTATTTGTATGCATCTCATATTCATTTGTTGACGACTAGTTATGAGACTCATACATTATATGGATTAATTTTAAAAAATTAAAAATAAAATTCTAAATATTTAAGAACTTTGAATTTTTAAGAAAATAAATGAATTATTAAATTTGAAATGTTTTTTTATCTTTTAAATTTAAATAAATAAACAAAAGAAATAATAAGCTTTAATTTGGGAATTTTGAAATTAGTACGTAAATCCATTAATGAAATTGATATCTATTTATTACTAAATTTATTGAAATTATTATATTAATATTATGTGGAATTTAATAAAATAAGAAAACATATAAAATGACATGTGGAAAAAAATCAAAATAACATTTGACAAATTGAATGGGAGTGTGACATGTGGTAAAAAATCTTCATTTATTATAGTAGATTTCGCACCTGGCTGTTTTTTTGGGTTCTTTTTATTGGAAATAAATCATCTATGTAAATTAGTTTATTTGTTTTCTATATTTACTTTTAGATACCCTGTATATATCCCTATATTTTTGTATATAAGAGGGATTAGTAAAATCAATAAAATTGTTGGGAACATTTATCCCATCTTATATGGTATCAGCCTATATCGATCCCTAATTTTTTTCTCGCTGCTTCTGCCTCCCGCTTCTTTCTCAGCCTCTCGCTATGTCTTCTTCTTCAGAAACCTCATTCTCTCTAAACACCCTTTTTCATATGCTTACTATCAAGTTGACATCAAGCAATTACCTTCTGTGGCGAAATCAAATCACCCCTCTTCTCAATCATCATAAGTGGAT